AATATAACTTTGTCACACTCTGTATTCATAAACTGATTATGAAAGGAGAGTAAGAGTGGAAGGTGCATGACAAGTGATACAAGCAATAGGGAATACAAGTAGTAAAATGAGTGAGGAAGTGATTAAACAGGTATTGGAGGGATTATAAACTTGACTTTGACCTTGCAGTATGCGACTTGAATGGCACTGCACAGTGCTGTACTGCTCATGTATGTTCTGCCTGAGTAAAGGGGCCTGTATGGCAAACCCAGTCCTGAAACTTCGCTGTGTTTAGAGGTAGCTGCGTGAATGAATCTCGTGTTTGGTGTTTAATAAAGTTTTATTCCAGGGATGGAAGAGGAGCCAACCCATATTCCTAGGTCAGTTCAGCCTCAATTAGGTGACCTTTCTGCCTTTCAATTACCTATATCTTGAGAGAGAGCAGTTGTTAACTTGAATAATCTACAACCAAAATAGCAGGGCATCTTCATATGAACAGCCGTCAAGGCAGGTAAAGGCATGGGGCTTTATAAAGTTGCCAGCGTTCCTCTAGCTAGCAACTGCTCTTGATGGAAGGTCCCTGACCTGCTTAAGGTGTATTTGAAATACATTTAAAAAGTGTTTGTTTTCTTTTCCAACTAGCTCTAGTTTGAGCATGAGGTCATGTCAATGTCGAGGTGTATTTGTTAATGATCAGTGCTGGCTGTGACGCTGAGCCTTGAGGGATGAAACAGGAAAGGGGGATTAGGACTAAAATGGCATATTTCTGCTTGTCAGGGAGAGAAAGGCAAACAGAAACTCCCAGGCTGTGGCAAGGCTAATTTCCCGTGCTTGTCAGTACATCTCACTCAAAGCCAGAAACAAAATGACTTCATTCACACTGAAAAGATGATCCAGTCTCCATGCTTGTACGGCAGCTGATATTAACCTCCACGCCTAGTTGGGCTTCAGGCCGTTTCTGGCAATGCTAAGCTGGTTGTCCAAATTTGAGGTTATTTTCCTTAATCATCCACTGATTTGCTTCATACAACAGCTTGTCAAGTGACAGAGTGACAAGTTTTGGATGATTAAATATAGATGGCCAAATTAATTCTCAATATTTCTCCATTGCACTGTGTCAAGAGGCGGAGGAAAAGCACCTTTAACAAACACGTTTTCAAGGAAATTATAATTTTCTTTGTGTTATGAGTAATGCAATATTAAGCACTTACCTCAGCTCTGGAATTTTGTCTGCATCTTTGATGTTAGTGATCAAATATTCATTGCCTTGATTATTCAAATAATTAGACATTTTATCAGTTTCTTTGAAAAGTTCAGAAATAAAAAGGCAAATCCCTTGAAGGGGTGTTCAATATTTAGTTTACTGTCAGCAGAAGAGTCATTAGGCAGGAGGATAGCGTGGCGGGGGAAAAAAGTGTTTGTTGCAGGAGGCCTCTGATTTTCAAAGTGAATGCTTTGAAACTTTTGCTGCATTGTACCTAGTTCTTGCTCAAAAACTGCAGGCAGAGCCTCACCTGGGGATGCTTATTGCAGTTCCAGCAGCTTTAATGGAAGAGAACCAGGCCACGCTGGGGAGTGCGGGCCTTGGATGAAATTCATTACATAGCTGAAGGGCAAAGTCCAGCACCCATTCTGCATTGACTTAAATAGTGTTTAAAGACAATACCAAGAGGAAATTCTGCATGTCACCCTTGCAGAAGGGGTGAGATATATGCATAAAAATAGACTTAAAGATCGTGTATAATTAAAAGTAGATACGTAAATTCCTCAGTTTCTTTATGAACAACAAACATCGACAGTGGTGAAATCCCCTCATTTTTAAGGTTATAATTTAGTGGTAGCTTAAAAAGAAAAGTAGGATATTTAGGTCTTTATTATACTTAATTGCTTCAAGCTTTCTGACTATTGTATGGATGTTGCAGAGCATTAGAATAAAATCAGTTCAAAGCTCATGCATAATGTGCTAGAAATTTTTTGTTTGTCATAATTCCTACCCTTTCACATTAATTGTAATCAGCAGAGAATGCAGGCTCTAGTTGTCTTGCTAATGATAAATACAAATATAGCAACAGTATTTTCATTCTCTTTATTTATTTATTTCACCCTGGATGTACCCTGTGCAAGGCATATCTCTAAAAAAGGAACAATAGGAGCTTGTCAGTGTCTGTACACTGTAGAAATGGGTGTGTTTAGAATGTATGCATATTACATTTATTGAGGGATAAAATAGAAAAACGCTTTGCACCACTTTCTGCTATGGATTTTTGTTATAGCTTCAAATACTTATATAAGCATGCAGAAATATATTCACAAAAAAAGACATAAGTGGCTAGAGTGGCAAATTCTTTATTGGTTCAGTTGTGTCAAATATTATCTGTAAAAACAGTTCAGCACAAACTCTTCAAAATAAAACATTGCTGTACCTTTACATTAGTATATGTAACATTTTTGTGAGTATGTAAGGAGTTTAGAGAAGAAACTGGGAAATGTACAAGACTCGGTAAGTCTATCAAGTCGTTTCTATAACACTTTTTATTTTGGGACAGTGCATACCCATTATAACTAAATCATGGACAGCAGAATAGTGACAAACAGGACAAAAACATAACTGAAAACACGTTTACATGGTATTTCTGACCATATCAGAGGTCGTGGAGGCCTGGAATCTCATCTTACCTTCTGTAATTTTACTCCTAATGGATCCACAGGTTGCAATACTGCTGGTGAAATGTGGTCAGGGATAGGGATGGCAAGTCCTAAACTATCCCACAGCAATGCTGAATTATACAGAGTTAAACAGACAATCACTTTTGTTTTTCTTTTTAATAAAAGTGTTTGAGGTACCATTAAAATATCTAAATAAGTAATTTCTGAAGAAAACACACACTCATCCATATTCAAGCACTACATTTTTCAAGAGGCTCGTCTTTTTCTTCAATACTGGATCAGAAACAAAAAGATTGCAGTTGTTACAAAGGAGTCAAGGAGAAAGAGGGCAACTGGGAGCATTAAATGCAGGCAAGTGGTTCTATTTTCATTTTGTTTTTGTTACCCTTCAAAGTAAGACCTGACCTCACTATGGTTGTTTCCTTCAACGATGATTTTCCATTCACACAGATAGAATCCAGGGTTTCTATCAAGCTCAAACAAGATGCTAAAATAATTCTTTAAGCAATATACAAAAAAAATCTATTGTCTTATGAAGGCCAAACAAGTTTGAGTGCCAGCAAAATAATTCACTGTCTCTCTGATGGACTTTATTATTGCTGAATAGCTTGGGTTCTTCACAGATGGTATTAATTATCAGCAAAATACAGGAAATGACTGGCTGGTATTAAACTGGGCCATGCATTGAAAGCACTCCATGAGAGACAGACAAGATAGATACTAAGTCAAAGACCGCATTACGGAAAGGCTCACTTGCAACACAGCACTACCATTGACTCCATTATAACAAAATCAGAGCCATATGGTAACACTTGGTGTCAATTCATATCACTTGACACGAGGAACAAAGTCAAGACACCAGATGAGTGGCTCATTTATTTTCAGGTGTTTGTAGCTCCTTTGTAAACCGTCCATCAATAGGAAAGGTGACAGTGGTGAACCGAGATTTATTGTACATTCTTTGATTAGGATCTGCTTAAGATGTAGAAGCAGAGTGTTTGCTGATTGCTTCCAAAGCAAACTACTGAAAACATTTTCTTAATTGTGGCTGTGTATATCCTATAACCAGAGAAGACCAAAGAAGAAGGAGGGGAGGCCCGGTGTCTCTTGTAGCTTGAGGAAATGGAGCAAAGAACAATTATCCTCTAAACCAGCCTAAAGAGGAGCTGGGTTTCTGCACAAAGAATGCTAAATCGGTCAGGCAGTCAAGGCAACAGACCTAATCCCAAAAGAACCTTTCTGAATCAGTTCCTTGTGCAGTCCTTAGTGACTGCAAGAAGCCTACAACAGTGAACATGAGCAAGAAATAGAGCCACAGAAATATTCTGCTTGAAAGCAGTCAACTAAATATGTAACTCTTTTCAATGTGTAAAAGTAAATAAATTAAAAAAAAAATCCTAAATGGAAATCCTACATCTTTTTGTAATATTTCATATAATAAAATGTAACCTTCACAGTTCTCCAAGTGAGTGTTTAGAAGGCTGCACACATAGTTCTAGAACAGACCTTGTCCTACAGAAACTGCTGAGCACAGCTTTTATATTGTTGTATTAATGCAATTTATTTACTGTGAAATGTTCGCATTATTGAATCCTATTTTTCTACCAGCTGGTCATACTGTGAAAAGCAAACCATCCAGCTTAAATAAATAAAACAATACCATTGTGCTGGTAACTCAGAAAGTAGGCTATTCTGTGTAATGGAAATGCAAATATGGACGCAATTGTTATTTCATGGATAAATGGAACTTACAGAAAGGTGGTGCAATGTTTTTCCCCTCTTTTCTTCATGCAGTTGTTAGGTCACATACTAATCCATCCTTTGCTTGCCACATACCATACATTTAGCACAATGCTGTTGTAGAAGAATGGAATTTCAAATGCGCTTATGAACATTTCTTATTTGACCCAGGGGTTTGGTGACCAGAGATTGAGGTATTGAATTACCAAAGGCCTCCAAAAGTTAGTTCACAGACACATCCTCAGCTGAAGATTACTTGAGATAGTTGCTGTTTTCCTGTGGGTCTCTTTCTCTTGTATTCTCAGTGCAGTGTACTTTGCAGACAGCTCTCAGCACTCCAGACTAGCTGACAACTATACTTCTTACCATGTCCTCTATTTTTGTTCTCATTTCAAGGTTCAGGAATTATATTAATTAAGAGTGAACGTATAACCAGAAAAACAAAAGATTACGTTCCAATAAACATCTTCTTAGTTTCTAACAGACCAGTGAATATTTTGCTAATGTTTTCTTCCCTTCCCTTCCCTTCCCTTCCCTTCCCTTCCCTTCCCTTCCCTTCCCTTCCCTTCCCTTCCCTTCCCTTCCCTTCCCTTCCCTTCCCTTCCCTTCCCTTTTCTTTTCTTTCCCACAATGAAGTGTGCAGCTGAAGTTCAGGAGGAGATGAGGGATTCTAGGTTGGAGAGAGTAGTAGTATCAGAAGAAGAGGATGCAAAAATTCAGTGTAGCTGGAGGGGCACATAACTCTTGGGGGACAGGAGCTGAGGCAGGCTTCTGAGCCACAAAGCAGTGTAAAGTGGGGTACTGGAAGCGTGAGTTTGATGGTTATCATGGTAATCCTACCTACTTTAATGCTTCTAATATGTACCCTGGCCTTGAAGAAAGGGATCTGTGTACAGAACCTTGCCTTCCTGCTTCCCTGCCATCCTTGACTTTGCAGCTCTCAGACGTATGGGAGACCCGCTTGAACAAGCAGCTGCATTTCTTGATGCTTATCCAAGGCAACTAAAACTGAAACTTCTGCAGATCACCTTTCACATTAAATCTGTTTTCCTCAGGAAATAAATTCTCACTTCAGCTTGGCCTGTGCTATATAAGTATACAAATCAAGACATTTTTCTGATTGAAAGGGCACACCAAGGCTATTAATACCATGCTTGTGCAGAATACAGAGAGATAACCAAGATTTTACTCTGCAGAGCTCAAAACTGGTAATGCACACCACTCAAAGAGAGCTGTTTTTCCAAAGCAGCACACCTTCATCAGCACTTACTCAGGCAACTAGTGCTTTTTTATATTTTTAGTGACATTTATGAGGGTTCCCACTAAAAGATGTAAAGGCAGGATTCAGTTCCTGTATTGAGGCTACAGTATTTGAAAATTATCTGACAAACTATACTAAAGCTATCTCAAAGATCTGTATGAGGATGGCAAAAGATTATCATTTCAATCCAGAGTTAAAGCTGAAATGAAAAAGGAAATTCCAAAATAGCTTCCAACCCAGGACTTTTATGCTTCTCTCCTGAATAGCTTTGAATTTGAATTTCATTAATCCTTCTGTATAGTCTGGTTCTGCTCCTTTGTAAATGACAGAAAACTTTTCATTAGTTTCAGTGAGGTATCATGGGCAAGGTCAAACAGGTGACTGAGCATTACAGCATCAAGATAGGAGCATTCACGACTCACAGGTGGATGATATGGTAATACATAGTACCCTAAGGGAGTGCTGAGCACCTGGAGAAGGGCGTTCAGCAGGGCATGTCCTACTTTGCAGCTGGGACTGTCCCTCTGAGGACATGGCAGCACGCTGTGTGTATATACACCCACATCACCTTTACACAAACCACCCTGGACCAAAACAGAGCTCCGTGCACCAGCTCTGCAAGCAAAGCACGCAGAAGGAGGTGGGGTGAATGAGGCTGTGCTGGGTTCTGTGTTGCAGAATGAAGCCTGAACTATTTCAATCTCCTCTTGGCCCTCCTAGGCACCTGAATGGCTCATATCTGTGAGATGATTGTTTTAAAATTCTGTTTCTTCTCTATATTCTATAAAGGGTTTTCTTTAATTCAGTACAGTAGTACCAACAGTGTTACAAGGCACTTCTCCTTTCATGCTTGCTAAATAATCCTTTCCAAGTTGGAGGTAAGAAGGTCTTTATCTCCAGGAGATGAAAGAAGGAGATAGTCCTGTCATACGGATCATGTTTGCTTGCCTGTCTGGAATTTTTATTACAATGCCAGGTCCTCCACAGAGCAAAAGATATGACAGGGAAAGACTGACCAGCATTCTTTGGTGCTTGCTTGAGGTCCTAAGCCTTTAAATATTTCAAGCAGCAGATGCTGCTTCAGAATGAAAATGGACACAGGAAAACATGGACTGAGTTTTTCAGGACAGGATTTGTAGGAAGAGCTGGGGATGAGATTTATCAGGGTATGGGATAGCTTTCTGGTGAAAAGCAATAGCAAATTAACCTGAATATAGTACTCAAATATATGGCAAGAAGCGATTCCAGAGAGTTATGGCAATAAGCAAAGTAGCCTTTGGGTCTTTTTCATCTGGACAGTTTGGGAATGAGTCTGTGATTGGTTTCACAGCACAGTCTGCAGCTGGCAAGCAAGGAGAGGAAAAAAAAAAAAAGTGAATATTTGCTTTTAAAAATGTTCCAAATATTTTGTACCCTGGCCACTATGTCAGGCCACTATGTCTTATTCTCCATGTACACATTATTATTATACCAGATGAGTTGCCCACTTACCCTATAGTGCTATGGAAACAAATTTAATTGTAGAAAAAAAAAACAACAGCAGCTTGGAGGTGGTGGCAAGAAAGTAGGGGACAAGAGCAGAAAGGAAGAGGGTAAGAAAGGCAGAACAAAACAGTTCATCTCATCACTCCCCTTGCTGCCATAAGAGCAATCAGCTCAAGAGAACATTTTTTTCAGGCTGTGTTCAATCTGCTGCAGTTTTAAATGTCTCAAGTGATAGGGAATATATCCTCACTACTTACAGAAAAGTTAGAGTGTGTCAGTTCAAACCAATAAATATCTGGTTTGACGGTGACATTTACAAGTTGCCTGCTCCGCTGAGCTCAGTGCGCAAGTTAACAGCTCACATTCTAAAGTCAGTTCCTTAATTATCTTGTCTTCCCCCCAAAGATTTGTCAGGAAGCCTGATGATGATATCCCAGATAGATGTGCTATACCAGTGAAGCATGGTTTTGACTTTGACAAGCTTTCTGGGTTACTGAAGATGCCTTGCATGGTAGGAGGAAGTGACTCAGCAGTCGCTCCACTGCTTGTTCTTCCCACCCTGATAAGATTTTCCTTAAACGTGTTACCTTGAGGGGTTATTCAAGCTTCTCATCATACATTCAGCAGAAAAGAAAAGAAGAAAAAAAATCTTCCCCCAAACAATGTTCTGTATTATTGAAGGCAGTTTGAGGAAAAGATCTAGTATCTAGGACAGGGTAGAATATAAATTAACATGGAAAGGACAAAAGGAAGTTTAACACAGTGAATGGAATCCAGAATTTGTGTCGTAATGAAATTCTTGCTTCTTAAATAGACCGGCGCTTTTCCCTTCTTCATAGATTTTTCCACTAAAAAATTTTATTAGCAGTCATGAAGCAGGGAGAGAACAGACCCAAAGACCCTATTGCTATGTGATTTCACATATTTTTATCTCCCCTTCATGACAAATTATGGAAGGGAAATAGATAGAAATTTTACGCTCATAGAATGATACCTTTTGTTTATGTAGAAATTAATTCCAATTCCTTCCAATGTAAATCCTTATGATCTCATCAAATTAATGTATTAAAAATCACCATAAAAATACCTTCTCATGCAAAACACTCAAATATAAAATGTAAAGTAATTCTCAGGAGGAAACAAACAAACAAAAAACAACAACAACAAAAAACAGTCTGAATGAAGTTTACATTAAACCTGTTCTGTGGATGATTATATACCTTGACAACTTTTCTTGTTCATATCTACAACCACCTACAATGCCACAATAATAAAATCATCAAGCCCTCCACCTTACTGGCTGCAACCATGGCAAAGAAATTAGAGAGAGTAAAATTTAGAACTAAAATATAGTCAGATTTTGTTAAAGTATTTTATTCCTGAGCCCTAGAAAGGAAAAACAAACAAACAAACAAAAAACCTCAGTTTGTTCTTTGGCAGAATAATTGCCTCCTGGATAAGAGAAGCAGAAGGGGACATCTATATTTGCCCTGGTAAAACTGCAGAACATCCATATAAAAAAGTTGAGGAAATATGTACTAGTGCTAATCAGTGGTACTACCGAGATGGCTGCAAATAGGGTTTCCTAAGAGATCTAATACTGTGCTCTAAATGTAGGAAGGTATTTCAGTCAAAGATCTGTCAGTTCCTTCATTAAATTAAATGATGGAAGTCTATACTCATGTAAAATCTGCAGTGTACATTAAACTATCAAGGGTAACAGCATTCTTGAAGCCAGAATTAAGATTCAAAATGATCCCGATAAATTGGAAAGATGGTCAGAATTCAATGAGATGACATTCAAAGTGGACAAGTGGCTATGTACTAGATAAAATGGGAATTCTCTGGCCAGACAGTACTATTATTGGACAAGAATTGAGCTAAAGTGCCTGTCAGTGGTGTAGTGTTGTTGCAGAAGCATAAATCTCATTTGGCTGTATGTTAGCAATATCATATATGAAACATGAGGGGTGATTATTCCTTGGTACTTGGCACACTGGAGCCTAGTCCAGAGAATTTCATTCAGGACTGTCTTATTTTAACAAAAAGAAAAAGAAAGAAAAAGGATGCATAGGTAAATTGGCAAGAATTGAAGAGCCTCAACAATGTCAGGAGTCAAACATTTCTGAGTAAAGAGAATAAACTGGAGCTTTAAATTTTATTATTGTATTGTATTGTATTGTATTTTTAAGAGAGACAGATAAATGGAAAAACAGAGACAGAGAGATATAGGAACATAAAGAGAGATGGAGCAAGCAGATAGACACGGGCTAGTGTTCATCACCATCTTCTGTATTCCACCATTTGCAGTGGAGGAAAGAAAAGGAGATATCACTGTGATTTTCAAATTTTGAAGTTGGAAATTAGCAAACATTTTCAACTCAAAAAATATCCAAGGACTCTAATTTTTGGTTGGTTATTGAACTGGAGGGCTCCTTGTCCCAGAATGACATGTGGCAGTGATGAGGCTCCTCCTAGGTGTCCAGGTCAGACAGGGAAGAGCCAAAGGAAGTCTGACTGAAACATCATTTTTAATCTTTATTTGTTTAATACAATAACTTGCTGAGATTGTAAGGATTTATCCTGGAAGAAAACAAAATTATTTTCTGCATATATACAGGCAGGAATAAGTGGAGCCAAGGGAAGAGGCTTTGGTCTTCCAGCTCCCACTCAGCTTAATACCAGTCCCTCCAGCTCACCAAGGTGAGACTGTGCTGGGAGGATGGAAGAGGCCATGCTCCAATTTATTCTCTTTACTCAGAAGTAGATGAGAGTAGCCAACGCAGGCACAGGTACCTTTAGGTGGCCACTATAAAAATGCATACTGGACACAGTTTCTTTAATTTGAGGTAAACACAAGGTTAAACAAACATCAGTCAAGGTTAAAGGCTACCAAGACCTTTCTCAGTACAAGATGATAGGACTAACTCTGTTCTTGACACCCTTCCAATTATTCTACAGTCACATACAAGATTAAATCATACCCTACAACCTATAGCCTAAGGTGAAAACGATGAATATAATTATCCTGAAGTAAAGCCAAAAGACGTTTCTAAGAGACAAAGACACTTGAGATACTGAAAGTACTATGTTTTTAAGCTGAATTACATTGAGCATCTAAAGATGCAACTGAGGACAGATCTCTGCTTAGGCCCTAGAAGACTGAAGATTGTAATATCCTTATTTTACTTAAAAGGTATTTTAAAAGTCTTTTAAAAACAAACCGCAGCAAATACAATATAAGAACTGTAATCCAGACCTTGTTCAGGACATAGTTCTGTACAATTTTTTGCTTCTGAAAAATGCCATGGCGTTTGTACAGAGCAACAGGAAGCTAAAAAATGGAACTGGCATTAATCATACATTATTCTCCACTTCAAATGTCCAAAAAAAAAAAAAATCTACATTATTCACAAGGTTTGACACTTGCCTTAATGATCAAACAAAGCCTATTCTTTCTTTTTCAAGACTCAGCCTACAAAACCTCTCTCATTACTGCTAAGGACAAGACACAAGAATTATGATAGCATCCAAACTCCTCCAACGATAAGCTCCACACAATTCTCTCCAACCATCCTTTCCTGCACTTCTGACACACAATATAGGCTGAGAGATTTAGATGCTGAATCCCATGTAATGCTGTTAACCACAGCAACAAAGTAACTCTGCTGACATATTTTAAAGAATTTTCAGTCACAGCTAACAAAGCTAGGCAGTCTTTACCGGATTTAAAAAATAAAAAATAAAAATGCTTGAGTTTATATTACAGGGTTGTGGTTTTCCTTTCATTTTTCAAAAAGGGATGATTTATGTATTTAATGGAGGCACTGACTGAAAATCAGAAAGCCTGTACCCTTAGTGGTGAAAATGAAATGCTCTGTCTTTAGATCTAAGAGAATTAAAGGACGTAATTCCTATGGGATCTTATAATTGGATACTTATAGTGGATTTGGGAACACAACATTCAGCATGTACCTGTTTTAGTAGTGGTCATAGCCGATGGATGCTAAGGCAGAAGGAACTGAAAGGCAACATGGAAACATACATAGAATTTTCTATAGAATTTGCCAACAGTGTCTCAGTGTCTCTGGTCTTACTGAAAAACTCTGAGGCTGACTACCTAACTGCCATTCATCTGGAAATATCCCTAGCTTTTGGCAGAATTTTTGCAAATAAATCCTGTCTTGGGTATCTTAATGTTTTACGCAAAACTGTCTGGGATGAGCAAGTTTGTGGTCCTGTTAAATAATCTTTGAAATGCATCATAATGGTAAATATGAAGTGAGTATTAGCAAGCTTGATTTTGTCCAGCTTCACCTCTGAGTGAGTAGCACTCTGTGAGTAAGACTGTGAATTCCTTGCCCAGAAAAACAAGAATTGTTAGAAGAGAAGGCTGGGGAGTGATTTGGATTCCTAGGAAAATGAAACAATGGAATGTTATGGGGAAAGATCGAAGAATGGATGACTAAATGGCAACAGAGAACAAAAGGATAGGATACATTCACAGCTGCCATCTGAAATTCACGTGCTTGCCTTTTCTGCTGAGAAAAAGACTATAGCTTAGCCAGAAGTTAAACTGCTATCATTTATCTCTCTCTCGCATCAAGAGAGAGGTCCAAGCAGTATTTATGCTGTACATGTTGATGTTTTATGCTGTGTGTGTTACATCGGTGCTACAGTTCATTACTGGGGCACTGCCAGATGTGCTACAACAGGAGGTTTTCAGTTCATTACCTGGGAGCCCTCTGCAAGCCCTTTCCCAAATAAGGGTCTGTGTGTTATTTAAGGGTCTGATCCAGGCTCTGGTGCTGCCTGGTGAGTGCTGCTGATGCCAACTGCTTCAGGGCTAGTGATGGCAGTCCTGGCAGGAGTTTCAGCCCAGTTTGGTGTGGATGAAATTTTTCTGTAGAACTGTGTGCTGGAAGTCCCTCTCCACAGCATTTCTTGCCTACATTTGTCCTCTTTTCTCTGCTTTATTCCTTCTGTCTTTATGTTGTCTCTCCGGAGCCACAGAGCTGGGTGACCTTCCATCAAGGCCCAGGCCCTGAAAGGACATTGCATACCACAGTCTTTATACAGATAGGGCCCTGGTACCCCCAAAAATACATCCAAAAACTACATGGAAGCTTCTGTCTTTACACTGAAGAGTAGACCTGTTGAGGGCTTCTTTCACAGAAGCATTTGTGGACAAAGTACATTTTAGAAAGCAAAAGAGATATTTTGAACAAAAACAATTACATTTTTGGCAAAAATAAACTCCCTGCTCTCCAAAAAACGGCTTTGGGAGCAACACAACTGCTTCTTCCTGCAGGCCTCCCTATTTTTGGTCATGTTTCTATCTCCTGGCAAGAGGTTTTGAACAAGATATAACAATCTCGTCTCATTTCAGAGCTTTTCCCACAGAAAACATGTTGCTTGGTCTTGTTAATGAATCTAATTAAGTCAGAGTCTGCAGGAAAAAATGTAGCCAAGAAGAATTGAAAACAATTCTTTTCACACCACCTACTGAAAAAAAAATGATCCGGTTTAAAATAGAGAAAGCAACAATGCAATGGGGTTGTCAGAGATGCTTACAGTTATAAAGCCCCCATAGCCATACACTTCACAGTCCATGTACAGCAATAGCAAGCCATAAGGCAAAGAAAACAAGGCTATTTTCTGAAAACAATTCACCCTCAGCACTGGCAGTGAAGCTGTCCATACCTTACCTAGAGCAAAGAGAACTGTTTTTGGTTTAATGCATGCTCACTCACTCCGACTTGTTGCCAGACTCAGCCTCCTGAATCTGGTAAGTTCTGTCTGCTGTTGGCACCCCTGTCTTGTGAGGATGGAGGAAAGGCACAGTGACTGTAACTAATTCTCTTCTCAGCTCTGCCCAACAACACATGTAGACAACCTCTGATATGGCTGTATTTGGCCCAGTATTTTTATTGTTTTTAACTTCTTTTCCTTGGTCAACTGGAGATTCAGCACCCTGTGGCCAGTATTTAAATATGTTCACCTGTTTCTACCCTAACCATTTAGGACATCAGCTTTTCACAAAATGTGCTGTCCTTTTTTAGGTATTTGCTTTGTTATAAGACCACTCAAATTATGTGTAGAGAGATACTGACTGATAAATTAAGAGCTCAACTGACTGCTTCTTTTTCCTTTATTTTGTGTCATCTTCTCCCTTCTTATGGTACAAGAAACATAAGCACCACCCAGAGCTTGAATGCCATCCCACTGAGCAGGGAACGTTAGACAATAATGAGAATTTAGGTATTTAAACAAAACATCTAAAGTAACATTGTAATACCTGAAGGGGTATTCTCCAATTCTTAGGATTAGGTACAGATAATTCAATTATTCTTTTAAACGGACTGAAAAACTAATTATTCCTTTAATTGAGATTCCATCTGTAGCAATCCATGTTTAAAATTTCATGAAGAAACCAAGTTTGAGAGGGAACATTCATACCCACCTTGTTTGTGGCCAGCACTAAATTCAGTTTATCAGTAATGTATCCAAATTAGTACAAAGTAAACCAGTACATTTACCAGAACACTTCTTGTCTTTTCTGAAGCTCAAAGAAACCAGAAATTAAGAAGAAGAAGAAAAAAAAATAAAATAAAAAGTAAAAATAAAAAGTAAAGTATTAGACTCAAATTTGAGACATTATAAGATTTTTCTCTGTGCCGATGGTAGAAACTCAACACACACACACACAAAAATAATAAGAACAGAAATCTGACACAGGTTGCCACTTCTTTACACATTCACTCAACTAAATCATTCTTTGTGCTCTGAGCATAAAGAGGACCACCCGTCAAGTAGGGAACATGGGGAACACTTTGACATGTCTCTCCACAAGCTGGAACCCAAACATTTTTGCCTTGAGCAACAAAGGACTGGATAGAGAGGGTTCATGGAAATAATTACAGAATGTTACAACTACTCGCTCTTTCGATGCTAGTTTAACCTGTAGCCTGCAGGATTCCTGTTTATTTAAGACCTCTGAGTGTCTGCATTACTCTTGTCAGCAGGGGTTAAAGACACATAAGAACAAGGAAGAACAGAAATTCACAACCTTTGTGAGCCAACCTCATCTGCCCATCAACCCAGCCTTGCTCAGATCTTGTGGCCTAAAGAATGAGTGCAGGACCTCCTAGCATGGAAACTAATGCCAAGGAAATAGAAATCCTTCCTAACATCAGAGGGCCATGCTACCTACCAACCTTTATCCTTATTGAAACAAATTTTATCAGGGGAGTTTTGCTCCCCAGCCCACCAACTTAATCTCATGTCACTGTTCAAGGTTCCCAGGCACATTAAGTAGCTGTGGTAAGTTCTTTCACCTGTCTGTTTATGGACTCTTTGCATATTTGGCATTTATTTTCAAAGTTTTTGTAAGTGAAAAACATGTGGCTCTATAGAACCTGCTATAATGTGGCCCTGATTTCATTTGAGCTTACTGAAGTACAAAGAAATAACTAGAGGGATCCTCATTTCAAGGATGTAGATAAGGGTTGAAATCCGAAGTACAACTGCCAGTCCTAATTTCTGCCAGTACATTTGTTTCTTAGCTTTTCCTTTCTTTAAGACACAGTCAAAATTGTCTCCTATTGCAGTGTTTAGAAGAAACCAAGCAAATAAGCCCATCTTTTTACAACTGGAGAAAGTATGCCCTATAAAAGAAAAGCGGTATGTATTGAAACAAGGAACCAAATTCAGTTGATTATTCTTGCAAGAGCACAATGACGTGATTCCAGGAGATTATTTACTTTCTGAAATATTTTTTAGAAAGTGTATTATGGTCATATTCACAACTGGCCTCAGAGAAGGACATGGATTTGGAGCTTGTTCAGAGTAATTTAATCAATCTTACACAAAAAAGCAACAGCCAACCATTATGGCCCAAGTCAATACTAAAATGATTTCCCAAAACTCATTACAAAGTCACTTTCAGGAAACAACTGGTAGCTCCAGAACTCTGAGGCTCAACTATAAAACTATAAATTTAATTTTCTTTAAGGTCTGTAAATGAGAATTAAAAAAAAAAAAAAAAAAAGTGTACTGCAATTTCCTTTAAATGAAGGAAATGTGCATTGGCTGGCATGCAATTTTTTTCCAACTATATCCTCAGTTTTTAAGGTGAATTAATATATTTGGTGAGGTTGTTATCATATAACAACCAGTGACTAGACATATAAACAAAACTCATTTTAAGAAAATAAACGCATGGCATAAATTTAAACTGCCTGCCTGCCTACCAGATGGAGAAAAGAACAGGGCCAAGTCACTGATGGAGTAACTTTAATCACATCAGCTTGTTGTTGACTTACTTATAAATACAAACAAGTCGACTTGTTTGTCCAAGTTCCCTTGGGAACTCACCGTATTTTCTCCTAATTTCTGAAAAAGCATGGAAGTTAATTCTTTATTCACAGTTTAGATAGATACATGATACAATCACGAGATGACGAGAAAATAACATCTTTATTACTGCTGGCTCATTTGGATACCTCTAGCATGACTATGCTTGAGAGGTAAATTTTTCTGTTTCATAAACCAAGTCTACCACCAATTAAGTAGAGTAGTCTCATGTAATAGTTCTGTTGAACTTGTATTATAAGCATTATAAATGTATCGTAAGTAATTTAAAACAATTTCACAGATAATGACACATCAACAAGATGTTTACTCAGGAACAATCAATGGACGTTTTGACACTGCCCTCACAAGATAAGAATTTAGTCAATACCCAAAAGTATATCCGATTTTGGCTCCTTTTTGGACAGTTTTGTTCCTATTAAAATCAATTAACTCATTCTTCTGTGGGGTAAAAGAATACTCAGAGCAACAAAGAATGGTGAGAATACCTGGTGTTGGTGATGGAATGGGGAAGGTGGTACAGTTCCTGTAGCACTGCCAACTTGAGGATCCAATATCTGTAAAAAAGGCAAATCCTACCCTTCCCTAAAGGCAGTGTGACATCCTGTCTAGTTGTTTACGTCACTGTGGTGTCATTGTTTTGATCTAGCTAAGCGATCCTCATACATTCTACAAATCAGGCAAATAAGACTTGGTGGGAATATTAGGAAATGAGAAGAAGATGTGTTGGAGAGAACAGGTGGGATCATAAAGCAAGAAATAAATACATTTGTCCAGGACTGCAGGAATGGATGGACCTGCCTACCATTATGTGTGTTCAGGAACAGTCTGTGTATTTTTAAATTTCAGATTTTATTGTGAGTTTTCTCTACAATCTCTCTTCTTTTTTTCCTCTTCTATCCATTTTTTGGTGGGGGATGCAAAGACAGAAAAGTGGCAGGGAGGACAGGGACAAGGAAAAAGGAGTTAAAGTGAGCCAAACATACTCTGCCCTAGGCTGGTGCAGAGACTGGAAAAAAAAAAATATATATATATATATTTGTTGTCCTGGAGGCTTATTTGAATTCTTTCTGACTGTGGCCCTTTATCAACCATGGGCTTTATTCAAGACTAGCAAGGGGTGAATAATTGGATTTGCTTGGCAGGTAACCATTCTTACTCTGCCTGTTAATCCAGCAGAAAAAGTCACTGATATCCTGTGAGATGAAACACCAAAGAGGTGAGTCAGAAGGCCAGTGATCAGATCCCAAAGAAGAAAGATCCAAAAAACTATGGTGCTGTCCCCGACAGCAATTCTCAGCTACTTGGTTTGTCTCCTGATGGTGCAGGGAAGCCCAGGCTCCACCACAGCTCTGTACTCATCCCTGGCAGCAGGGTCTGGAGAGGTGGGAGCTGCAGGGAACGTGCCAGGGCCTGGCTCCGACTGTTTGAGTCCGATAGGCAAGAAGAGGAGCACTGCTTTGGACTCTGCTGTTGGTCTTCAGCTAACGTAAATTAGCCCCAGCCTTTTGGCACTGGTGGAAACGAGCTGCTTCACGCCACTTATAATTTCGTCTTGTTTACTAGCTGCATCTTAACAACTGCCAGGCACAAAACCGGCCGACTGGGGACATCAGAGACAAAGGCTTTATACTCTTAATTTTTTGTTTGTTTAAAGACTAACAAAGAGGA